TAGTTTATCAATTGTAATTCTTGGTTTAATAAATTCAATTTAGTAGATTTTTATCCGCCACTATTTCTAAACAATTCGTAGGGTTATATAATTCAGCACTCTTTTTCAGTTATGTTATGTTGAACCTTTTAACAAACTAGCAAAATCTGTCTAATATTTGCAAATTTAGTTTGTAGTTATTCAGCGTTTGGACAGACGGGCAAGCCATGTAAAATTAGCGTGGCATTCAACGTGTTAAAAAGTTTACCAACGAGGTCTGCTATTAACCTAAATCAACATTGATTATTCCACCAATCAATTCCTCTTCAGCAAATAACTTTAACTTTGTCATCAAACTTAATACATTGTTTGTTCTCCTAAAACAAGCGGAAGATTAATCTTATAATTGCCTTGTTCCTCCAGAGTAATGACAACACACATTTATCTTTTTTAAAGACTAATTTTATTTCAGAGATTTATGCGAGTAATCAATGACAAATGAAATACAGAATAATTACTGTTTGATGTGAACTGTTACTCATTACAATAGAATTCATCTGTATTAATTTTTTTCTATTAATTCTTTTTATATTATTCTCATTTAAGGGTAAATAGAAATGCCCTACATAAGATAACTATATTTAAATGTTCATGAGTTAGATATTTTGGTTGAATAAATTACTTACAGTGTGGACACTAAATCTAAATGAAGAAAGGAAACATTTTACGTGCTCTTGATCGACAAATCACACGTAAACTCTTTCTACATGAAACACTTCTTCTTAAAATTATACACAAATATAATTGTCAGTATTATCATTAACTTTGATAAGAAATATGTTACTATTAGAAGAAAAATGTTGCTAATTTTATTTTAAAATTATTTGTGTTAAGTCAGAACAATTTATTATTTAGTAGCCTAATAAAGTGTGTTTTTAAACTAGATTTTTTCCGTAATGACCGCCCTTATGAATATTTTTAGTATCCAATGAAAAAGAGTTAGCAGTAAGGGTTAAAAAACTAATATTTAAGTGAGAAAAAAAAATGACAACTAAATTTAACTAATTATCACTGAGGAAGAGGAGATACTATTTTATTTTATAACCGTCGACCCAATTTTGGGTTTACGACTACCAATGTTGAACTCCGTATCCTTGTAGTTTTGATCTTAATCCAGAAGACAAGGGAGTTCCTGGATCAGTACCCCCAGAGCTATTGATTTGTTATGGGAACTTGGGGGACTTTGTGACACCGACAGATTTAATGTGCGCCAATCACTATTTAATACACGGGGATTCTTTGGCCAGCTGGATTCGAACTCCCGTTCTCACAAACACGAGTTCGATGCTCTACTAACCAGGGTTTATTTTTCGGATGAAACTTGAGGTGTTTCTAATTATCACCCTTAAACCCCTCACTCTTTCGTCAAGCAGTCAAACAGGCTTTGTTGCGTTCAGTCCTGCTTTCCTCTGTAGTAAATCGTTTACATTTCGATCATGTTTTGTTGTACTTAAATATTGATTTGCAACATTTAATATGCATACATTATGATACACTAGCGCGCTGAAGTCTTTGGTCAGTGTGTGAATCGTCTATAAAAAAAAAAGAACTATGCTCATTCATTTTAACAAATTAGTACTAATACATTTCTCAACAATATTTCAATGCTCTATAAATAAGAATTGTTTAGTAAACAACAGATGTAAACAATTTCTATTTAGATTTTACTCTCGTCAATATGACCACCTTTAGCGCGGATGACTGCCTTACAGAGATTTGGCATTCGAGAGAGTAACTTTTCAAACGTTTCACAACTTAAATTTTTCCAGGCATCTTGGAGATATTCCCTGAGACTATTTATATTAGTTGGGCACATTATGCGTACCCTTCTGTCCAGCTTGACCCATAGTTTCTCTATAGGATTTAGATCAGGTGATTGTGGTAGCCAAGTCATGATTTTAAGCACTTTCTGCTTTTCTTTCGTATTCAAATTGAAGGAATTTTTTTTAAAAAAAGAATTTTTACACTACACATGAATAACTTAAACAGTTGCCTAAAAGAGTAGATAAATAGTCACGTTTTGATCTTCTTCAAAAATAACCGAAAAATTGTAATTGTTTTAACCGTTTGCCTTCGAACGCTTATTTTCTTTCGTATTCAAATTAAATGAATTTTTTTAAAAAGAATTTTTATACTACGCATGAATAGCTTAAACAGTTGCATAAAAGATTAGATAAATAGTCACGTTTTGATCTTCTTCAAAAATAACCGAAAAATTTTAATTGTTTTAACCGTTTGCCTGTGTACCCTTATTTAATACAAATGAAAAACGTGGTGGCAGGTTTGCATATAAATTAGGTGGAAATTTTCGTCAGCTAGCTGCTAATTTTGTTTCACGATAATGAGAAAAAAAATTGATTTGAAGAATTGAAAAATTTTGTTAAAAAAGAATTGAAGAATTTTTTTAAAAAGCAGTCATGTACGAGACTTATAGCACGTGACTGTTTGATTTCAGAACGAGATATGTAGCACATAATGTGTAATTTTATATAATTAAAAGATTTTATTTGATAGGAATATTCAGTTTTTCCAATTGTAAGTGCTAAGAATAAAATATTTGAGCTACCAGTCTTTAACATTTTGAAGAAATATTCCAAAAATAGAACATTGACATTTAAATGGTTAAAAAATCGCTGCTCTAGGCCACAAAGGAAAAAATTATTTCACAAATTCATGGCGTGTATGCTGATGTTCATTGATAATAAAATGCAAAAATTCTGCCCTTCTTACTGCAGTGACTTAGCGTATTTTTGCATGTGATTGTTTCATGGTTAAAACTTTATTTACTGTTTGAGTTGTAGACTTGAAAGTGCCAGAATTGTAAATATTTTGATTTGATAAAACTTCAAGCATTCGTCAGCTTCCGGTGCAACAAATGATCTTGGCAATTGTAAGAAGTGATAATAACCAAAGGTAAATAAACACAGGCAGCTGGAGATCAAAGTCTGATATGCTACTGGTGATAATTAGACAGTATCTAAAATAATACCCTCACTGAATATGAAGATTTGAACAATATGACTAAGTAGATATTTTACTAAAAGTGCTAAATTCGGGTGACTAATAATTTTCAAAGATTTATCAAAATAGATTGAAATTTACAATCTTTTAGTGCATATTTTTATCGGATTACAATTGAAGATGAGTTCTAGGTCTGAATAATTTAAAATATAAGTTACAATGGTAGTTACGATTAAAAAATTAAAAAATATAATAAATAAATAAAAAGGAAATGAGTTTCTACCACTTTTTAAATTTTTAGTGACCTGCGGCATCCCTTTAATATGCATTCTTCTTTAAAAATAAAATGGTTGGAATACAATATTTAACCAGATCTGAAATCTATCCTGAAAGTATAAATTGGTATTTAATTTCTTCCAATTGTTCTTCAGGAAAAAAAGAAACCTTTAGAAACTCCCTCTATTTTTTAATAGTTATAATATACAGTTCTATCTATAAAAAAAAAATTATAGCTTAATATATACCTTTAAAACGATACTTTTTTCATTGTATGTGTCAATTTAACTTTAATTTTCAATGCTGCGTGATGTTGTTAAATAATATTTGCTCAAAGGAATTAATATTGCTTTATAATCATGCTGATAATATTAATAACCGCTGAGGATATCTCACGGCAGCACTGTGGTCGATGCGAGCCGGGTGCGGAATTCGTATCGACTCGTCCTCATTCGGACATCGGGATTCGGACCCGGTTCACCTCATTGGAAGGCGAACTCTCTATCCCCTGATCCACCAAGCTCTATTTTAGTGCCCAGTGTAATATTGACCACCATGGCAATTAAAAAACAAATTACTACATTATGAAAGCCACATAATATGCATGTAACAGAAATCGTCACCATTGATGGCAACTTATTATTCAAAATATTTAAATTAGTCAATGACAGTGGAAAACACTTTTTTTTCTGCATAAAATTTTTGTCAGATCTTAAATGTTTTCGCTCCGCTGATTTCAAGTCTTCTGTCTGTTACTCTCTACAAGCTACAGTTTATATGCAAATAAAAAATACAGCCCAAACAACAGCTTTTTACTATACACTCGAGTGAATACTAAGTTTCCCCACTTCTCTACTACGTAGGGAGTGGTAGGAAGAAAGCAATAATAAATTTTAGTTCATGATGCTATACGTCAAGGTCATATTTTTTTGTCATTAGTGCTATTTTTAAAATATATATAAATAAATTCAAACACTTGTGGATATACATAAGTACACATTATTAATACATTATTCTAAACTTCGTAATTGCTTTGTAATTTTACGAGTTTTGGTATAAATAGGTACAGGTCATACAAATCATGAAAAAATAGTTTATAGCTGTATATTAAATAGGAAAATATGACTGTTTTAATATTTCATTAAAAGTAGTCAAAAAATATTGGAACAATAATTAATTTATAATTATGATTTTAAAAAAAAAAAAAATTCGAAAACCTCAAAAATGTCCGTTTTAATAGTGTTAGTGTTAAGAGAAAATTAGTGGCTAATATAATTCTAAAGGCTATATCTTACGAATTTTATTCTATTTACTTCTAGCAAAATAAGTACAAAGCACGCTTTATTAATATAAAAGTTAGCAATTTTAAAAACAGTCATAATTTTGAACAAACATTGGAAATCAAAAATATGTATAGATTTTATTTATTCCATCTAAAATATACTGATCGTGCCTTTAAGTAAATAACAATATTACTTTCCTTAAAAATAAGATTAGACACACGACCCTCCTTGTGTAAACTTTGTATCATACTACACATAGGCTTAGAATAACTTTTATCAACTATTTCTCTTGTCAACCCCTGAGCTTATCAACCCTGCTCCCCATGTTTCCCCCGTGTCTCGCCTATACAAAGTAATCTATATTTCAGGGAAAAAATACTTTGATTGCTTCCTTAATTCTTCCACAGATGGCGCTGAGTAAAAAGTTTTTCTCCTATTCTCCATTGGATGCAAAAGATAAATCTTATCCTGTTATCATTCTGCTACATACCTTCATCTCTTTCATTCAAAGTTACGTTCTTGTTTCCCAGGTAGACTGATTAAGAGAAAAGCTCTTTTGTCGCATTGCTGGACTAATAAATATCGGTAGGCAGTGTCTATTTGTTTAAATTTTTGGAGGAAAAAAGTGTTTCGTATTTTTAATATACTGTGTGTTTGTGTAAAAATTATGAAGGACGAATTATTTTCTTTGAAAATCAAGAGACAAAAACAAGTGTAGTACAGTCAACGTATTTTTCTCGGACACAATTACATGTTGGATATGTTTCTTCTTTAATTTTTATCTACATTTTATTTGGATCTTTGGTAAGTTTCTCATTTTTTACTGTTTTTTCTTTAAAAATATTAACCTAAAATAAAGTTCAATTTATTAATAATGATATTTATTATATTGAAAACAAAATCACGCTTGATTTTTTATTGTAATAATTTATATAGGAATAATATCTTCCGAATTTTTTATTTTAATAATTGGGATGATAATCCTTAATAACTGTAGTCATAGAAAATACCTTCTAATTTGTTATGAGAGATTATTGTTTAGTAAAATAAGATGAAAGTTTTCAATTTTTATTTTTCATGTTCAATCATGTATCTGAAACTCTGAAAGTATGTAAGACAAATGTTTTAAGAAATAATATTTGTCAAGCATTATGGGTGACTTTATGAATTATTACTTTATTGCATTATAATATCCTTATATGAAACTATTGCATAGTGTTCTATTTTGTATGCTAACTATTCATGAAAAAGAAATTATTTTTACATTTTATAATGAAAATAACTTTTTTCAAAAGGTTTTGGGCAACTAATTTAGAATTTATTTATATTTCCTGGTTTTCATTAAAAAAAATATTTCATCCCTCTATTAATTTTAGTTATAATTATTTTAAATAATGTCTATTAATTAGCGTCAACACAGAGCTTTCCCCTTCAATTTAAAAATAATGTTTTTCAAAATAAATTTAAAAACAAAATCCTCAATACTAACCATCCCCAATTATTTCGAAAAAATAAATAAAGAGGAAATATACTGGATAAATATACATTAAAAAACATGTCATGAAGTGTTCAAGCTTCCTTTGGTATTTTTTGAGGGATATTATCCTATTCTCATGACAGGCTAACCCCCGTCTCAAACCCCCGATTATCATTCCAGACGATATCGCACCCTTACTTATCTTTACAGATATCATTCGTAATGTACTCATTTATCAATAAAGAGCTGAGTAATTATCCCGCCTGGAATCGAATCTGACGAATATTAATTAGTGTCGAAAATACTGATCTTCTGTTAGCATAAAAGTCAGAGCTCATGAAAATTTTTGGTAAAAATGGGAAAAAAAACATTTTTATTTTCTTTCTATTGGTTCATTTATTTCCAATATTTTTTATAAAAAAGGGGGGAATTTTTTTTTATTTTCTTTCTATTGGTTTACTTATTTCTAATATTTGTTTTCTTATTTCCAATAATATTTTCCTTATTTTTAAAAACTATTTAATATTTAATGAGTTTATTGCAAGACAGAGATAAGAATCTTTCTTGATGCACCAATTTTAATTTTTCGATGTTCGAAGTTACGACACAATGGCTGATCACTTTGACGCAGATTTTTAATTAAGCATATTTTTCATACTTTTTTCTCTAATTTATATCAATTCAGATTAAAATAAGTAAAGAAATATTAAATTTAAAATTTTAATAATTTATGGTTACGAAATACAGCATGAAATTTCTTTCTATGTTAAATGTAAAATCTTCCAAACACTGCTCCCTTACAAACAATATTTTTTTCAAATTTGCAGTTATTAAGATTGTTATTTGCAGTTATTTAGATCAAAGAGAAAAAGTTATTCATCTTTGAAATTTCTTTATGCTCAAATTCAGTTATTTAAAATCATAATCAATTTATGTGAAGTTTTTGAACATGAATAAAAATAAATCTTCAAACTATTTTTTTTTATATTTTTATAAGAAACAATTGCGAGCATCTAACAGATTTTTTTAGTAACCATTAGACTTTTTTTATAATTAAAAAAATACCAAAATGTATTTTTGCTTGCAAGTAATTAGAGAATTTAAAAAACTTTTTTATCATTATCTTTTAAAGCTAAATATTCGATGAGGTTGCATAACCTAAAAAAATACATTTGCTCCTTACATTTATTATTTACTGTGTGACGGTCATTGTTTAAGACCCTTTGTGATAATTTCGCAACCAGGGATATATTTCAGAATTAAAAACTGAGGAAAGTCGTATTTTTCAATGGTAACTCGAATAAGTCTTCTGTATTTTACTGATTTCGGTCATGTTTGGTTGCACTGATTCGAAAAATCCAAGCAATTTTTCTTTTGTCAGTTGTAGCTTAGTGTATCTACGAAATATGATTTATACATCTTTATTAATAATTTTTTTTTATTTAATCTTGAACTGTTGTTAAAGGTTAAGTCATATTCCGTCAAATTCAGTCTAATTGATTAAAAAAAATTCATTTTTCTAATCATGGCGCCTTTACTTTAAAAATTCTATCCAAAAAAGCGAAACGAATATTTTTTCGTCGCAGAGTAAATAAAATATTTTGTAACTTAAATGCATTTGAATCTTAATATTAATCGAATTATATAATTCGTAGGCTTATATAATTCACCACTTTATCATACCTATTCAAAAGTAAGCAAATATAGTCAAATATTTGCAAAATTTACTTGGTACCTATTTACCGTTTTTATAGTTATTTTGTCGCGTCCGGAGCAGTTGGCATCTTTGCATATATTTGGCGATTATTTTGCCGCAGATCCCGATACGGAAATCACTCCATTAAAACATATTAATTGTGCTGTTATTATTTATATTGTATTTCTATAGTTATAGTAAAATTATAATTTTAAGAGAAATCTGAATTATAAGTCTTAGTTTAATTGCACTTTAAATATTGATTGTGTTCTTGTTAGAACCTAAGCATCTAAAAACATAGCTTTCCGTTTAGTTTATGTAGAAGTAATTTTATGTTATTTAACCCTTTCGCGCCGACTGTCACAAATACGTGACAGCATGAAACCGTATCAATCAGGNCCACTATTTCTAAATAATTCGTAAGTTTATGTAATTGTTAGAACCTAAGCATCTAAAAACATAGTTTTCCGTTTAGTTTATGTAGAAGTAATTTTATGTTATTTAAACCATGCTGCTTTTCATGTGATTAACAAAATTAATTTATGAATGAGATTGAATATTAATCATTATCATATAAAGTCAAATTTGTTAACTATACGTTGAAAAACAAAATAAAGTTTACGTACTTTTGGAATTTTTTTTTCGAAGAACCTTCAAAACCATATTTTACTGCTCCACATAATCTCATAAAACTTGTACAAGATATGTTTTATTAAGATTTAGGCCAATAATATGCTCTTTCGCTGTTTTTATTGTTAATATTTTTAAATGGGTTCTCTAAACTTGAGAATAATCAAATATTTGACATTAGGCAGGCCAATAAAATAAAACGCATCAAAGTTTTATTTCGTTTAAGTATACTGTTCATCTAATTGTTTTAAAATCCGTTTATTTTTTTTAAACCTATATACAGTTTTCTACTTCTTTTAAAATTATTAACGTAATAAATTTTTTTGAAATACTGGGAAATGAATAATTTGAGAAATATGAGAGTAATTTTTCTTTTAATTAAAATAAGTAAATAAAATTTAAGAGAAATAATAAGATGAGCAAATGACATGATAATCAGGAAAAACTGGGAAAAGTCTGGGAATTTCTTCAATCTAAAAAAATCGGACAAATGAAGAATTCAATTAAAATACCTCAAAATTCTGGGAGAGTAAGAATTAAATTAAATTTGAGGTACCTGAAAATCCATTCGTTTATTTTTTTAATTTTATTTTTTTTAATAATGGTCATGTTTCAATAGTTTTTTTAAAAAATCAAATTGTGTTTATTTATTGATTAAAAAACAAAAATGGCTCTAAGGAGCTAATTATGATAATTTTAAATGTGAAGTAAAATTCACAAAGATTCAATTAAGTTATCTATTTTACAAAATAATTAATTTAATTCAATACTGTTATTCGTAAAAGAAAATAAGTGTTTCTTTAAAAGAATGATAAATAGATTAGATTAATTGAGATAAACTTAGTTCAAAGTTAATTGTCATTATAGCTTACTAATATCACCTTTGATACTGATAATCAGATCAATAGACCTTATACACAATATCGTGTTAAAAAATATATGCCATCCAGAACTGCACAATATATCGTTAAATATCGTTAGGTTTTAAATATCGCAATAGTTTTTAAAAAAATTCATGATATGAACACCATTTTTTACCACATAAGCAATGAATTTACGATGTTCCTGCATAACGATATTACCACGATGATCATCGGAAACTATAGATATTGAGGACGTTTCGGTCGCGATTATTATAGATTACTACAATTATCTAATACTGTAATATTGCCAGTACTATGGATATAATTATACTTATATCGACTACAAATTTATTATGAATGTCAGTAAATTTCACTAGGGTTTCAAAAAATATTTACCAGTATGAAAATAGTATTAGTTAATTTCAAATAGTAAATTGTATTACGTATCGTTAAAACATATATTGTTATTTTATATACAGTTATTTTAAAAAATTATTATTATTTATAAAATATTGTTATTTTTGACGATATATTGTTATATACAAAGCAGGGCTGACTGCTTTCTGCGCTCTGTGTGAAAATTTCTTTTGCTAGCAGGAAAGTTTATGTTTCAATATACGATTCTTTGATTGGTAAATATGCTTTATAGTTATTTTCCACAAGCTATATATATCAGCTTTTGATTGTCCACCACTTATTAAATATTTTTAAAGAAGTGTACTATATGGCAGCTCTGAGACTTGTAAAATATCTTTTTGCATTTCAAATTTTAAATAATGCAGATAACCCTTAAGGTTCGGTAATTCGAATATTATTTTATATAAGTATTTAACGCATGAAATATTATAGTAAGTAGTACAGTTAATTTTCTTACTCTAGATTTCTTAGTAAATAGCCATGTTATATTTAAATTACCTCCTCATGTTTTACTATATTAACCCAATTTAGTTTTGCATTTACTAACCTAATTTAGTTTCTAATATCTCAACTTATGTGCCTTTTCTGTCCCCCTTCTCCGCCCCTTTGTTTCTAATTATCTTAAATGAAGTTGATAACCTTTAGGGTTGGGTAGCTCGAAAATGAGTTCGCATAAGCAGAGCCTTGGCTAGGCATTCGCCACCTCGCCAAATGCAATAAA